AAGAAGAAAGTGTTAGGGTTTCCCTTTTGTTTTGATTTAAAACAATTTTCCCTCAATGAAAGCCCAATCATCCAAGCCCAAAGAAGAAGGAGTTCATTCCCTCAACACAAGACCCAACATACCAAGCTCGGTTAATATTAATTTAATTGGATTGTTAGAGCCCGATAAATATCGATAAATTCAATTAACATTCACTTTGAAATTTAAATGAAAAAATCTCCCGATTCGAGACTAACTAACCTGAGGGACTCGGGGCGTTACAACATGCTTCTGATGTGGAGTAACCAACCACATGGTAGCGCGATTAGCGTAAAGGATCGACTCAGTTGAGATGATTCTCTATCTCAAAGGCAGCCTTGGTTGAAGATAGAAGGCGTTCTTCAGGCAGTTAAGGCGAGAGGCCGTGAGTAAGACCCTTGATTGAACGACCTAAACAGACGCCAGAAAAGCCTATACGATGATATACTGAATCCGGAATCCTCGCTAAGTCAGAAGAAGCTGGGTGACGTCATTAACTTCTTAAGCAAGTTTCCTTATCCGATAGCAGAGATATCAACTTTTACTTTTTAAAATTATTTTGTCAGTTTGTAATTATTTCCACTTTACTTTATTTCCTTTCTTACTTTTTTAAAGATAAGATGTCCTCTGTCGATCACGCTTATCTTTACTTTTTATAAAGTAGATTCCAAAAGAGATAACATGTCAGTCAATGACTTGTCTTGTCGGCCAATTCTTATCTTCTTTGTTGTATCCAATTATGTTGAGATAAGTGTCAAGATATTAGGAAAGATCAATAATTGCAGCTAGTTGCAAGTATCGATCTTGCCTTATATAAAGCACTTGGTCCTGACCTGATATTAAAAATTAGTTTAAAATTTCATAAGATATAAATAAACAAATTATGAATTTTGAAACATTTGTGTAGGAGAACAAAATTAAATGTACCACAAAGTGGATTAAATAAACGAAACTTGAAATGTTAAGAATATGAAAAGTTCTATCTAATTTTAAATTTTAATTAAATTTAATAGTGAAATATGAAAGGGAAATTTAATTAAGTTTAATAGTGAAATATGAAAGAGTTAGAACCTCAAAGATTTAGGAAAACAAAATTTTAGATATTAGTCATTGATTTAATAATGTCTTTGAAATATTATTTTACAATAATAAAAAAAAATTAAAATTAATAATTTGCAAATAAAAATAATATAGTTAACAAAATAAATGACTGATCATTAAGAAGTAAAATATGTGAATATTTGTATTTTTAAACTAAGATATTAAAAATTAGTTTAAAATTTCCTAAAATTTATCCTAAACTAATTATGGCAGGAGAATAAAATTTAAATGCACCACAAAGTGGATTAAATAAATGAAACATCCAAGGTTAAAAATATAAAAAATTTTACCCTTAGGTAAATAAATTACTTTTAAAATAAAAGTTTTTCATTTAATTAAATTCAATGGTGAAATATGAGATGTTTTAGAATTTTAGAGGTTTTTGTAACTATTGTACTTCCTACAACCATAAAAGTGGTTCTCTTCCACTTATTTTCACACTAATTTGATTTCTATATTTTTCCCATTCCTAGTTTTCTCTCTTTAATTAGTTAATTGTTTTTAATATTTTTAAATTTAGTGATAGAATACTAACATTTTTAATATGTTTTTAATATTGTAGAATGATGTTATTTAGCAATTGTTGATCATTGTATATCTTGCAAACACTTTTCAGTTTCATCTCAAACATCAATAAGAAGTAAATATATTTTATGAAAATATACGAAAATATGCCTTGATTTTTTTATTCACTATTGCTATATTTTTAAGTTTGGACTATTTTATAGTTAATGTTAATATCATTATTATTTTTTATTTTAAATGTTTTACATACTTATTAAAATGGTTAGGTCAGTTTTCAATAGGTTGTCTACGTCATGATTAAGGTTTGATTTTCTCATTTTCTAATGTGAATTATCTTTATGATATACTTTCAACGAATATTAAATAAACTTTTTTTTTAACATATTTTTCTCTGTTTGGTTCATTATTTTAATTGTTTTCAACATTTAGTGATATAATACTAACATTTTTAATATTCTTTTTAATGTTGTAGAGCAACGTTGTTTAACAATCGTTTGTCATTGTGTATCTCAAAAGTATTTGTCAGTTTCATCTCAAACGTCATAAGAATCAATATATTTTATGAAAATATACGATAATATGTCTTGATTTTGTTATTCACTTTGCTATTTTTAAGTTTAGATTATTTTGTAGTCCATCTTAATATCATTGTTTTTTTTTTATCTCAAGTATTTTTACACACTGGGAAGGCAACTTTGTTGCTCATTGGCTGGCGCGATTGGCTTTAGAGTCGTTCGATCTTCAGGTTTGGGTGGAGGAGTGCCCACCATCTGTGGTCCGTTGCATTGAGAATGATTGTTCGCGAATTCCTTCTTCTCTATAGTTCCTTTCCTCGTTTTTGTTTGTTTCAAAAAAAAAAAATTAGGTCAATTTTCAAATAGGTTGTTTGTTTTATTTAAATAAACAAGATTTTTCTCATTTTCTAATGTGAAAAAAAAAATTATTCTATCATTTAATTTTAGGATATACTTTTAATAAACATGAAATAATATTTTCTATAAATACAATACAAAAAAATATAATTTAACTCAAACAAACGCACTATTTCTAAAAAATATTTTATTTAAAATAAAAAGTTTGAGATAATATTTATCTTCGTAATTAGAACTTTGTTTGAAAATAAATTTCATTATAGAAACACAATAATAACACTTTGAAAGTGCCAAAGTCAGCATGACTTCATAATTGATATATACCTAAACATTGACTTCATAATTGATATATACCTAAACATTTTGAAGGTAGGACAAAATAAATGAGGAACATATTAATGGCCAACTAAAAATTTGGTTAGATTAAAAAAAAAGAAAAAAAAAGAAAAGAAAACAATAATATAAAAATAAAACTAATAATATAAATAATAAATCACCTTTGATTCTATAATTTTTCAGCAAAATTTATAGTTGTTTTTCCGAGTAAGAAAAAACTAATTATAAATTTTAAACTAATTTTGTTCAATAATTAATTTTTAAAAAATATAATTAAATTTGTTATTTTGTTTTTTTTGTACAAAATTTGTTATTTGTTATTTTGTTAAAATAAAATAAATTAAAATAAGTATACATGGTAATGACTCTACACAATATTGCCCTTGATTTTTTAGGCAATATTCATTACTAAAAAATTACTAAATCCCCTTACCAAAAAAAATATTACTACACCAACAAATCCATACATCCTGGTAAACCTTGGGCTTTTTTTTATTTTTATTTTTTTTTAAATAATGAGCACTAATGCTTTTAACGATCACTAAAGTTTTTAAATAGTTGTTTAATTTTTTTATGTGGTTAATTGAAATATTAAATATTTTAATTTTAATTTATTATATTTATTTGAAAATAGAGAATAAAATGAACTTTCCCAAGTTCTTCTGTTAAAATAATAATTTTTTAAACTCATAACGTTTCATTTAGTAAGACTTTTTTTTTAGCAAATTAAGTAGAAGTAAAAGGTTTAATAAATATAATCATTTTAGTTTAAAATATCATTTAAAAATAATATATATTTTAAAAAAAAGTCCTTAATTTAAAAAATTACTAAATAATTATTACAAAGTACAACCATGGATGACCTAATGGTAGGCCAAGGTAAATAGCAAATGATTTAGACGGAATGAGTTTAAAGCATGATGGTCAACCAAATGTAGTAGGATAAGAGGATTGACCCGTGATAATATTTTTACTAAAATATATATATAACTAAAGAATTAAGAATAATAATTCAACTAAAAGGTTATAAGTTTGATCCAATTTGTACTAAAATAATAATTAAGAAAAGAAAAACATATATATATAACTGAAGAATTAAGAAAAAGTACTAGAGNTAAAGTTACACGAGTTCAAAGCCCTAATTAAAGTTAATCATTTTCTTTCGTTTCGTCCCTCTGCCAATTTTATTCTACCGTCTTTGCGCTGCCTTCGTCGCCGTCGTGACTGCACTGCTGATTTCTTCTGCTCCTTTTTGGTCGATTCTCACTCTACCATCGTCGGGTACGTTTAATCCTTTCACTAACCTCCCTCCCCTCGATTTCTATTGTGTTGTTGGGAATCGCCGCACTAAACTTAGTTCGAAAAGATTTCTGTGTCATATGTGACTCAATCTTTACTCTATGGTGAGTACAGAGCATCTTCACGCAACATTTATGAAATTGGGAGAATTGGGTTTTGAGAGTTGGAGAGTTTGAATTTGGTATCTTTGTGTGTATGTATATATATTTCATTAGGAATTTGAATAGCTGTATGTTACGTTTTAGTAATCATGATAATAATTTCTTTTTGTAACTGTGAATTGAATGGCACATTTCAATTTCCATTAAATGGTTCTAAGCGATTTCTACATAAATATAATTAACGAATTGATGGGGCTGTTATGAAGTAATGGTTAATTAATATAGTCCATGTATTGAAATCAACAATAATATACAGTTCATCTCCACAACCAGAACCAAATTTGCACTCGTCTGACTGGAACATACCTACCTATTCCATGTATTGGATTGTAAATTATTATGAAAATGACGATTATGTAATTTACTTAAAATTAAGATGGATACCATGTACTAGAAATGTTTTTCAGAAATCCTTTTGTTTGAATATAGTATAGATATAGATTTATAAGAGTTTGGTTCGATTCGACTTGCTTTGATTTTTTCACTAACAAACTGAACCAAACCGAAAATATTCAGCTTTTAGTTCGATCCTAGTGGCCACCCCTACCTAGAAGTTTTCTTGGCAATCAAAGGTAGTAAGTTAGATTTATTTTACTCCAGAGAAAAAAAATTTGTAGTTTCCAATTTCCAAAAATGAAAATGACGGATCTGTCTAACCAGCTCCATGCCGGCAGACCGAGAGTGCCATCCCATATCTGTAAAAATTGGATTAACCAGACAATGATGTAAATTTCAAATACAAATACAAATATAGCCCACGTCAAATCCTTCCTTGTAATTTCTTCTGGAAGAAGAAGAAGACGAACTTTCTCTCTACCCCTCCTCTCTCCTCCCTCCCTGTCCTTTCTCTCTCTATTTCAATAATCAGTTCCCTCGACTCAGCATTCACTCTCCCATCTCTCTTGTTAATCAGTTCATCCGTCAACAACTGGGTGGGTGATGCGAATGTTTGTTTCTCTCTCTCTCTCAACATTGGTCCTCTTGTTGAATTTACCCTCCATCATCATGCTTTTGTATTTTTTGTTATGATTGATCTTCTGCAACCTGTAGAACAAGACTTTTGTCGCGAACCCATTTGATCCTAAGTTAATTCCTGGACATAAATTGCTGATGTTTGTTTAGAAGTATGTTTAGGTTATGATATGGTTGTTTTCGTTACTAGTTGATGATGTTCTTATAGTCTCAGTCACATGACTTCAGAATAGTTGGATGGTCTATTGAATTGGTTAGAAAACTTATTAAGTTCTTTCGGTTAGATACAATAAAAAAAAGGTGAAATGAACTAGGATTTAAGGGCCTGTTCTGTAACCGTTTCTTGTTTCCAATTTTATTAAGAAACTTAAGCTTTTTTTTTTAACTATTTATTTTTCTCGTTTCTCATTTTTTAGAAAAATTCTCAAAATTGTATAGAAATTTAAGAAACAACACAAACAAGTTTCTTGTTTTTTTGTTTTCGTTTCCAATTTGTTCCAAAATATAAGTAAAAATATTGTTTTATCATTCTTGAATCTATGGATGTTGGGCTTGAAATTCTATTTATCTTTATTAAAAAGGAGACTGAAACAAGAAACGAGAATGTTACCAAACAAGCCCTAACATACTGAGTTCTGGCCTAATACTGAAAATTGGGAAGAAATGAGGCCGTACATTATTGGTCCAAAAGAAGAAAACTAATCCAGTTAAACCAGTTTGTATTAGAGGCAAAATGAACTTGGTTTGCTCCCATGAAAAAAGTGAGTATGATGCTCTGCTTATCAGCATTGGAAAGAAATTGAATCAAATTGAACTGTGCAGTTCCCTAATAAGGACTATGCATAGAATTATACAGACAATCTTATCTTTGTTTTACAAATCCTCAGCCCAAGCTAAGATGCATTTTGTCATGAAACAGAGCAGATCTGTTTTATTGAACTCTTATTCTTCTCAAGGTTTGGTCTGCATTGTGTCCATGGAAAGCATTTCTCTACCTCACCACGGGTTTTCACTTGCTCTCCATCGCTACGGTATTTTGAGTTTCTTTATTTTTATGGTGTTTTTACAATTTTATTTGTGTGTAATTAACGCAATTCTGTTGGACTGGACCAAATGTTTAGGTTATCAAGAACTTGGGCTTTCCAGTGCTTCATCTTCTCTGCCGGTAAGCGTTTTAGTCGATCTCTTTATCACTTTTGTTCAATTGTCTTTGTTTATTTCTATATTTTCTGTTGCAAAATTTAAGTCTGCTGATTAGCTGATGATAGAGTTTGGAAGATATTCTTGTAGGTTGCTTGATATGTGTTTAAACATTGCAAAATTTAACTCGAATATCCTTGAAAGATTCTCTTTTAACCTTAACTACTAAAGTGTAGTCATAATGGTATTGGACCAAATGATTTTAGGGAGCCTGAAGGATGTCCACAAAGAAGTGGAAGGAACGCTTTGCTCTTGGTGAAGCACTAGCAAATGAAGATATTTCAAAATAGATTTCTCCAACTCTTAGTTCCAAAAAAGCAATGGTAAAAAGTATGGTTTTCATCTTCTAAGGCTTTTTGGCACAGTGCACACCAGATAGGAAATAAAAGAAAGTTTGGAAGCCTTTATGAATTCTATAGTAGATATTTAACTGATGTCGGGCAAATGCTCAAAGGAAGAATTTCATCTCTTAGTGAACTTTAGTTTTCCAAATACCCTTAAATCTTAATCAATGCTTAATTCAGACAACCATGCTCCTCAAAATGCTTATCCGTGCACTCTTCAAGGACAAACACCTTTTGCTCACTCAATAGACATTTGGCTGCCTGATTGAAGCAACCATGTTCGCGGAAGAGGGCAATTGTAGAAGCATGGTGAAGGGGGATGAGGTCACA